CACACACACACACACACACACACAAACACACACACACACACACACACATACACACGCACGCACGTAGACGTTGAATGCAACACCTCTGCGCAGCTATCAATACTCAGAGGTAAATCATTGCTTGTCTCGGTTCACTCCCCCCTCACGCAATTTTATGTTTTTTTGCAATAATATTTTTGGCATGATGCAAAGCTGGGCGAACTCGCGTTTGTATTGGACAACAGTCTACAAGGCGCAAACAAAGCAAGCAGTCCCATCGGCACCTAAACAAAGGGCCTCGCTCCACTACTCAACACATGCACAGCAGACAAAAAAAGATGGCGGTGCATCTTTCCATGTCTAGCGGAAGATTCATCCTCATTTTGCACAATTGGTGAGTAATGGAGCGGGGCCCAAAGAAGGAAGGTGGAACCAAAAAAAAAACAGAGAACAGCAATCTCACCTGATGACACACATGCAGCTTCCAGCTTCGCAAGCTCGAGAGCTTACTGACTCTTGGCCTCCGCTTGCGTACGGAATTTGACCGTAAAAGCGGTCAGATTCAGGCGGGAAAGTCGTGACGGGAGTAATGCCGTCGGCCTGCGAACGGCTGCGTCTTGCCGTGCACCCACTGCCTGGCTACCCAAGTAACGATGCGTTCACTTTCCCGCCATTTCTCCAGCTTCCCGCGCTCACTTTCCCGCCATTTCTCCACCTTCTGACGTCGACTTACCGCGCGACCGCGCGTCGCGCCATTTTCCCACCTTCCCGCCTTCCCGCCTTCTCACGTCAACCCGCCTCGCGTTCAAATCGTCGGCAAAGCTCTATACAAGTGAGGGAGGTTTGAAACACACTCCTATGTGGCGTACACACACTAGCTCTATCTTAAATGCATCTGACCTCTTTTGCGGCCACATGCATCCGACCGCAATTACGTCCATAAGTAAAAATGGACTGTTGCGAGTATATTGCGAGTATGCCCTCAGACTAGAGAAGAATCAGAAGAAAAAAAAATCAAAAGTGGCGGGGACTCTGCCAACGGAATCTGACCATGCGATCCAGCTACCTAACCCAGTTGGTAAGGCTCGCAAGTGGCATTCAGGAGGTCGTGGGTTCAAATCCCATCGGGTACCTTCCTGGGCATGCTTGGTGCCCGACACCTAGAGATAGACCACTGGATCCCACGATAGGCATCGAGCAGAGTCTGCTGATGTTCGTAGGGGAGGGGACCTGAGGGGAGGCACAGGGATTGGTCCTGTTGGCATGGTCCTGATGCTACTGGCTGTCCCCTAGCCGGTATTGCCCACCTGCAGGTCGGGAGCAGCCCCCGCATGTTCTCTCGTGAACACGGTTCTGGCTGCCACGAGGTTCCCCGTATGCCTACAATTAGGAGTAGTGGTAGGTAGGTAGTGTGAGGTGAAATTGAGAGAAGAATATAGCTTTTCAAAAACTAAAAAAAAAAAATATGACCATAATTGTCGTTCGGAACATCCTTGAAAGTAAAAAGGTCCTACTGAGACTGAAAAGTCCCATGTGAATATGCCCCCTACCCTCCCGTAAGGACCCACAAGGACCTGGGCGAATCCGCGCGCCTTCGCGCCCCCATTGACTTACCGAGGGCATGGGTGCGCAGCTCGTAGTTTGTTTGTTGATGTGGTTGGGGAAGGGTAAGGCAGTGATTGTGTTGTGTGTATGTCTTGTTATGTTCGTTATAAACAACTCGAAGAGTGTGTGTGTATGGGTTCTCGACCGGTGTTTATTCACAATGTTCACGGGATGTTGGACTCAATTTTCAGCAGGCGCCGCTTCTCACTACTTGTTTGACCCTTGGCCTAGACGGCCTTGAGGAGTGATAGAGTACTCCAGGGTGAGCTACGATATCACCTGCCTGAAACTACAAAGGTGGTGGAGTGCTCTAAGGTGAGTTATACGACCACTTGTATGTTTTTTTTTATATATCATTGGGAAGGAGATGAGATACTCCAGTGTACGATATCTCATCACCTGAATGACATTCGGTCAGGAACTTTTTCACGATTAACAACGAGGGGATGAGGATTTCACCGCGAGTCATCATGTCTCTTGTCCATATAACGATCATTGACATAAAAATACACGTACTAATTATCCTTCAATAGGCGAGTAACGAAAATAAATTCAGTATAAGTTATTTTACTATTCGCTTGCATGTCAAACTAATAGGAGGAGGCTCCAGTGAAGGCCGTCCTAATACATATTTGACCTCTAGATGACTAATAATGAGAAATAAAGAGATGCTTCAATGTGAATCATCTTGCGATTGTCTGAAATTTTAACGCATATCAGTTACCGACTTTGTACAGTCTACTCGACTAAGTGATGAAACAAGTGGGAGGATACTTCAGAGAGTGTCATCCTAAAGCTCAATTCGGAAGTTTTGACAATATGGTTTTTAAGCTTAGAAGCGGGCTCCAAAGAGGGTCACCCTACTACTAGCTTAAACTTAAGACTAACAAAAGTAAAAGTGGTTGTTGAGATATTTCATTGTAAGTTATCCTGTTGATTGTCGTTCACTCTGTTTTCTAAGTCGTCAACTTGTCTCACAACGAAAGTCGGGTAGTAGGACGCTCCAACGGGATATCATCTTATTATTTCATGTGCAACAAGTGGTAAGAGACTCCAAGGAGGGTCGCCTTGTTACTTTTTTGAGTACGGACCAACTTAAGGTTGACAGATAGCAGGGTACTCTAGGATGAGTTACCCTGCTAACTGCTTTTTGTCTACCGTTTAACTTTGAGTGGGTACATTGTTCGAGGAGTAGGAGGAGGCTCCAGGGAGGGTCGTTCTATTACTAACATGAACTCAATACTAATCTTGGATGTGGAGAGAAATGTGAATTGTTTGTTGAATATTGAAAAAAATAATAAAGATGATCTAATGCGAGTTGTTCTATTATTTGTTTTAAACCAGGTACTGCAGTGTGAGATACCCTGCTACTTGTAAGAGTTGTTATATACTTAAGCATTCTATTGTTCATTTTGCATATGGAGTGAATGAAATTGAAAAGGTAGTTGGATACTCCGAGGGTGAGTTATGTAGTTACTTGTTTCAATATAGATTGCTTAGGATTTATCAGTAGTGTGAGGTTCTACAATGACGGGACCACATCAACTTGTGAGATTGGTCAGCCTTAACATTTTGCGTAGACAAATAATTGAGATACCTCAACTTATGAGGGGTCTAGTCTTTGCATGAATAACGACAAGAGGTATATAACTAGCATTCACCGACTTATGGTGTGGCCAGTCAGCCCAAACAGTAACATATAGTGTAAAACCAGACTACCCAACTGATGGGTGGCCCAGCCTGCTTAAACATACAACATATGCGTATAACTGAACAACCCCCAACTTATGGGTTCCCCCGACTTCCACAAACACAACTACATCCAACAAATAAAGATTATGTTTCATTCTCTCTTATGATAAAGTGCTAGGTCACTCCAATTTGTGGAGATTCTCAATCAATCCTCAATTTTAGTTAGAAAAACTAGCCAAATTTTATATTATCTCTCTGCACCTTATGTTATCATGAGCATAAGACCAGCCTACCCAACTTATGGATGAGTCAGTCTGCCCAAAGTTACCTTTTAATTGTATATTATGAAATTTTTTTCTTTCTCTACTTTGTTTTCTACTGGCTTACATGACTAAATCTTCCAACTTACGGCGTCTAGTCTTCCAATGATATAATACATAAATAAATACATCATATTTTATACTCTGGTTCTATCTATGTTCACGGCTCATGACTTAGTCACACCAACTTATGGTGCAACTAGCCTTTGTCTGTATCCCTCTCGGAAATAAACATATTAGACACATGCACTTAGAATGTGTCAAGCTTTGTTCCGCAACAAAAGAAAGCAAGGATTCTGAGTACCCAACTCATGGGTCCCATCCTCCATTCAGAAATCCAAAGAAAAACATGTGACTGGACCGTCCAACTTATGGGGCGTCCCAACCTCTGAAAGTCAAGCAAACAACTCAACATACAAAAAAAAACATAGCACTGAGTCCACGCACTCAAATTGAACTAAGCCTTTGGTTGACCCGGTCAGACACAAGCAAAACTAACCTTTCCCCACCTTCTCCCATTTATTTTGTTTGAATTCACTTAAATAAAACGGAATTCTCATACATACTTATTAATTTAACCTTTCATATCGAGTCATAAAATTAAAACAAACAAAAGTAATAAGATTTTTTATTCATACTTTTAAACACACAGATAAACAGTAGTACAATTTAGGGGATGGATCACATATGTAAAATTATCATTATACCTATATGTTCCTTACCCCCAGATCCCTGCTCGGTCTCCGGCAGAGCTGCCGCAATCGGTGGGCAGAGTCCCCACAAAATCGTGATGCGGTTCTACGGGTTGCAATCCCATCTGTCATCTTCCTCTCGTAACCTCAAATTAGACTTGGAGTAAGAAGGACAGAAGGAGGTCATTTAGACTCTCAAATACAAGAGAGATACAATCGACTCGCATGAGAGGGCCTTGAAACCTTCAGTCACCTGAGGACCCTGCAATGGCCGCCTAAGCGCACAACGAGGTGGTCGAACCGAAGTCAAAACATATGATAGCAGCTCTCTAACAATCTTCAAGTCGCAATAATAATTCCTTTACAGACTATGCTCCCCCCTCTCCGTGAGTCGTTATCTCAAACTGAACTGCTACTACACGGTCTCGAAGAACCGTGTTCGAATACAACACGCTCTTGTTCTCTACTCGAAACTGATGCAAGCTCGTCAAACTTTGTCAGCCCGTATACACATCAACCATATGTAGTAGTAGAACACAATAAATACACCTCGAGGCTTAATAGCAAAGGAGAAGAACAATAGTGAAGTACGACGTGCGTGCTCAGCAAGTACATAACGTCCACAACAGTCGCATGCAACAGCTACTAGACACTGTACTAGCGCATAAAGCCCAAAACCATAAGCCACCATACCACACAACAAATTCAGCAACGGTGTTTCCGCAGCAACCTCGGTGAGGTAGCAAAATGTAGCACTTTATATAGCAAACGCAGCATCGAAAGCGCAACAACACAACAAGGTGCAACCAATGCGCAACAACATGACGATGTGCAGCCAATGCGCAACAACAGCATAGAAACGGGCCCAGCAAGATACACAGTAAGTGCACTCCACAAACACAACAAACCCAACACGACAATCCAAGGGGTAGCGCGACTTCGAACAACACGTTAGTCTTGCGCAGTGGTAATATTGTCTCATGTACAACTTGAGAATAAAACGTTTGCTAAATGCGGGCAGGTGCATGCCCATGCCGCCCGCTGATGCATTCCCCGACTACCTGCAACTCCTTTGCTAAACGAGAGTGAGTTCTTCCTCCTCTTCCCCCCCTTTTTCTTTGCACTCCCCTAACAGGCCCGTACCTCGTCGTACTGGTTGGTTGGATTCGACTGGTGGCAACGATAGCCAGGATAAGCACTACTGAGACCACCACTAAGATCAGTGCGACGTTCTGGAACAACTTGATGGTTTCGTTTGTGGAAGGGGAACAACTAGTGGAGATTATCAGAGAAGACAATCGGTCTCCAAAAGGATGAAGACTGTGATGGGCGAGTACCGCTCCCGTCAAAGCGATGATCTCGGTGTAGGCAAATAAAAAGTCTCACTCCACTACTCTCCAGATATGGAAAATGAGAATGAATCTTCCCACTAGTTCACGATAAGGTACGCCGCCAACTTCTGAATGTATCC